TGTTACCTACATGTACCACGACCACTGGCTCCTTCCCAGCACTACACATAAGTCTATCTAGATGCCTCAAGAGATCCGCAACCTTCGCACCAGGCAGGCAAGTCACCATACGGTTCTCCCGGTCATCACAAACTCAGCTATCTATGTTTCTAATAATCGAATCTCCCATTACTAACACCTGCCTTTTCCTAATGACTGGAGTTCCCTCCCCCGGAGGGGTAACCTAAGTGTAAGAGGATACCCCAACATCATCTGGAAGGAGGGTCCCAACTATGGGAAGGTTTCCCTCTGCTCCCGTTAACTGCTCTCCTTCCCTGAGCCTTTCATCCTCCTTAACAGCACAGGGGCTGTCTGACCAGAGGTGGGACAAATCTACAGTGTCCCGGAAAGCCTCATCAACATACTTCTCTGCCTCCCTTAGCTCCTCCAATTCCTCCACCCTGGCCTCCAAAGCCCATACGCGGTCTCTGAAGGCCAGGAGCTCCTTGCACCGAATGCACACATATGCCACCCGCCCACAGGGCAGGTAATCTTACATGCTACACTGGTCAAAGAAAAATAGAAAGGAAATCAGTGGATTGGTGCTGATATACTAGCCTTGACTAACACATCTTTTACTTACTGCTTCTGGTGAAGCCATGCAATGTTTCTAATTGTTGCTGCTCAGTACGATGAGAGAAAAGGTATATATGACAAACAGCAATTGACACCTGAAATAAGGAAAAAAACTAATATTTTTAGTTTAGTTTAGTTTAGTAATATTAGTAGAATGAAATTTAGTAAAATGAAATTGCTTTAACTGAAATGTATTATTATTTATTTGTATTGCAGTAGTGCCCAGAAGATCCTACAGGTCCCATTATGCTAGCCACTTCACAAATACATAGTAACAGTCAGCCCTTGCCCTGAAGAATTTACAATTTAAACAGATTACGTATACAGACAAAGGGCACAGAGAAGTAATGTGGCTTGCTAAAAGGTAATTTAGCCAGAAAATAGACGAGCCAGGAAGAGAAGAAAGGTCTCTTAGCTCTCAGACTAGTTCCATGTTCATTATATCATGCTGTCTCTGCATGACAATAGTTCTTTAATATTTTGATACATGTTTGAAAGTGGGTATCAGTGAAGTAATTTGGACAGTCGGAAACCATCTTCATTTTTTCAAGACAGGTAACAATGCCTAATGAATAGTGCTCATTTCTATCACTGAGGATAGTGATAAGAAAGGGACTAAACAGAACTATGGGTCTGATCCTGTGGCCCTGATTCAGACTAAGCTCCGATCGACTTCATGTTCATGCTCTACATTATCATCTTCCTAGAAGTATATTGTTTTTGTGTATATAAACACAAATAGATGCTCACCCACACACTTCTCCATGGTCCCTTCCTTTGGACTGAATTCACTTCTGTCCTACACAATTTATGTATTATATTTTGTACTCTTCTATATTATTGACATCAAATATATAGAATTATTCAACTGAAGTTTTAGAAAAATGTTATTTATGCAGGAGAAATTCATCTCACATCTTTATGATACCCTACTAATAATTTTTTGGTGTTCCATAAATAATCCTTGGCAGTTGAGAAGTATGATATATATTATTTAGGAACAATGTTAAATACAAATACCTCAGTAATCACACTACACTGTCATTTCTCTGTTAAATTCAGAACATTCAACAATCAAACACAAGTCTGAAAGCCCTTTAAAAATTTAATTAAATCTGTGGTTTATAATGTCTGGTCTGGAAGAAATGAGCTCGAACTGAATAATTTTATTTGCACAGTTACACACAGTCTGTTTTTCATGGAATGACTGAAACTGAATAATTCCAATCTATACATTGTTTGCTCTTATTAGGTAACCCGTAGGTTGCTATTCATTCATGCCTATCTTTGGCCAATGCTTGAAACGAAGAAAACTCTTTCGAATAACAGGCTGGCTGTTTTATTTGGCTAGAATAGAACATTATTTCATGCTATAATGACCCAGGGCTGTAGTATTGGGACATCAGCAAAGAAAGGGAACACACAATAAAAGAAGAGAGAAAATCCTCTCTCTTTAATGCACACACCTTTCAGTGTGCAGCCACAGTGCCTTGTCTGCTCACAGAAAAGTAATACTAAGGCTTTCTCCAGTTTGGGTCAAAGGGATTTGTTAAGTAAGTGCCAGATCCCGGAAGCCTGGAGGTCTCCTGGCTTCTTTGCCTCCACAGATTAGGAGAAGGAGAAGTACAGCTCTCTAGTTTCCCCAAGGCCTTCAAGCCTCCTGGCTCTATTCCTCCCTGGTCAGAGGAGAGAGAGAACACTCAATTCTCCATAAGAATGCCTAATCTATTATTTCCCCTTCCACACAAACCTTGATGGATCAAGGTGAGACTCTTCTGTTTCCAGCTGACAGGCCAGGCAGCTTCTCAGAGAAAAACAGGCCTCCCTTTGATAGAAGGGAGTTACCTCTTTCCCTGCCTTAATGTGGGTTTTACATAAACCATCCCCCACCAGTAAAGGCTTCAACACACTAAAAAAACACAGCATCCACACCTCTCTTTCCCGAGCATGATTATAGAGGAAGTGGTAGGAAACTGGTTATAGCAACATTTAACTTCCACTGATATTTTTAAGAACCGTCCAACCCATCTTCAGGCCAAGCCAAGGCACAGAACTGTTGCAATGATGGACAATCTCCCAGGATGACTAACAACACTGAAAAATGTGATGCTTTTTAATCTTTCCTCTGTTTTTGACACTGCCACTCATGAAGGATTGACCTTCTTATGGGACCTGAGAGGAGTTTATGAAGTGGCTCCAAATTGGCCTAACAAATCCCACAGAGTGCTATTGGGGAGCTAATCCTTCTCCCCAAAAGCTCTTATATATGGAGTCCTGCAAGGCTCATACCTGTCACTGCTCTAATTTAAATTCTCTTGAGACAATCATGAGCTGACCTGGGCTATGATACCAGCAATATCCTGATGACATGCAGTTCTATATATATACATTTTTCACCTTGCCCAGACAGCCCTATCTCCCAGCAATTTCAGTACATGGAGGAAATATGAGAGTGGATGAAGAATGGCTGGGTCACATTGTACCCAGTAAAGACTTAAAACAGACTAGGAGGAAAAGGGAAGCGATTCCAAGAATTGGCAACCACCACCAATTTGCCTTCAAATGAGGGCACACACTTCCCATAGACAAAATGGTGTCTATGGCCATGTTGCACTCATCAATGCCCTTGACAAATAGCTAGACACACCAAAAGCACCTTCCTCCAGTTGTCAGCTAACATGAAAAATTTGACTCTTCTCTCCCTGACAATTGTGGTCCTGGAATGGGACTGCATAAGATGTTTGTGAAATTGTCCCATCTGGTGTATCATGAGATTATCCATCTCCTCAATGATTCCAGCTGAAGAGAGCATATTACACTGGTGCTCTGGAATCAGCACTGGATTTCCATTCACTAATAGTTCCACTTAGAGTTATGCTATTAATCTATAAAACCCTTAAATGTGTAGAAGCATATTATCTTAAGGACCATGTTACCTTAAGGAAATGCCATGGCAGCTGCAATCCTCTGACATAAATATGATTAACAAGTATAAATTCTAAGAAGAAAGAGATAGGGCACATTCTCCACAGGAAACAGGAAGAGTCTAAGGGCTTGTCTACACTTAGAAATTTTACAAAATATTTGTTATGGAATAATTTTTCTGGAATAGCTATTTTGATAAATTTCCAAGTGTAGATAAGCCATAAATTGACTTATTTAGATCATGCTGTAATGACTCACCTTTTTGCCAGTGCATGCCCCCCAGAAAGGACTGGAGCAGATGAAAAAATCTGACATTATGCCCCAAAAAAAGAAGCTACAGGAAGTGCAACATGCACAAATACTACAGTTGAATTAAGAAACTGAGATCCAAGGTTGGTAGAGCTAAATGAGTAGTAGGTGAAGGCCAGGAACTCTAGAGAGGCAGCACACTCATTCTCAGAGAAATGGAAGGCATTATTCATTAGAGTTCCCTTCCAATAAATGAAGGAGAAATGTGATGGTCTTTGAGTAAAATTGTGTGCATCCCTCCTCATTCAAAGAGAGGGCTGCACTGATGCAGAGGCGCTGAAAGTGGAGGGGGCAGAAATAAGGGGAAAGGAAGGTTACTGAGTAGAGTTCAGAAGGTTCTTTGAATATTTGTATTACACATGAACTCAACTTCAAAACAGTTTCTTCTGCTCTAGCTATCTGTTCCCCTTAGAAGTCAGAACATGTTGAGTCACTTATGGTAATTATGTACTAATTATCTCAAGTTTATCTACCTGTAAAATGGACACTATGCAGAAGTGTAGTGACCATTCATTATTTAATGCCTGTAAAGTTCTTTGAGATCATTCAAGAAAAAAATGGAACAGGAATATAAAGTATTATTATTGCATCACAAGAAATCATTGTGCAAATTATTATATTGTCAGAGAGGATATGAGTCACTAATAACCATGCAAACTTGCTCAGGAAAGAATTTGGCCTTATGTGTTCAGGTGAAAAATAAGCAGTAAAAGCTAATGAATTCCATTTACATGAAAATATCGCTTATAATAAACACGGAAACAAGAAAACCAGCAGAATAATTCAAAAAACATTCAGAGAAACTGCCCAACACCTTTACAGAAGATACACAGGCAGAACTATTTCAAATTGAATATTGTTCAAATTTTTTCAGGAGGGATTGGCTGTTCGTAAACAATTTTTTAACTTATTGCTTTGGGGAATTAAGACGAAGTTAGTGATGACTATAACTTTCTATTAAGCAATTTTCCTTCTCAATTGTACACAGCCACTTATGAGCCAGAACATAACAGCTCAAACCTTATTAAATCAGTTTTACTTGAACCCTTCTGAAATGCACTGAGAAAATTCTGATATTACTGCAAGACTCAGAAAAACCTTTTTATAAATTGACTTTTTTTTTAAACTAGAAAGAAGAAAATGGATCTTACCTTTTTAAGTTCGCTTAATTTCTTTTGCCATATAGCGCGAGCGACAGGAATGTACTTGCTGTCAGTTACATAACAATTTGCCATAAGGATGTGGTGGAGTTCAACGTTGTGGCTCATAGCTTTAAGGACTTTCTCGACATGGCTTAGGGAAACTGTAGCCTCCGTTTGTATGCCACCACCTACAAGCTGCATGGTACAAGGTACTAATGCAATCTGCCCAGCACAGTATAGAACTTCTCCAATCTAGAAGAGAATAAGAAAAAAAAACAAGTTTGAATTTTTCTTTCCTTTTTATAAGCATTCTCTTTCAGCACTTGCTGTTCTCTGTCATCGAAGAAGCACCTCTGACTTTGCCACAAATGGAGCAAGTATGCCAACCTAAAGGTCATTTTCGACAGGGATTTAGTTACACTATAAAAGTATCACACTGTAATAAACTTTAGCCACAGAGTTAATACATGGATGGTCAAATGTGCATAATCTTCAAAAGAATCAGCCATGAACTGATGAAATAAGTCTAGAAATATGTAAATTTAACCTTTCACAATGTCACAATATTTCTCTGCAATCACTGAAAGGGTTTGTGTCAAGTTAAAAATAAGTTGTTTACAGCCTGACAACTCAGGTATGTAGAAAAATGGATCATTTTACTTCTACAATTTATGGACAACAATATTTTTCATTATTTTAAGGCAATCATATCAAGGTAACCATTCCCTACAGTGTATTAACCTAACAGCTCTGTTTGACGTTAAATTTTGCTATTGTTTCTACAACATGCCAATCCCCAAATATGCTGAATGGTTGGCTGCTTCTGCTTTCTCCAAGTATATTTGCACAATCTACAAAGTTTCCAGGAGGTTAAACAGGTGGAGTTGTGGCCTACTGTATGTTATGGGTTTTTTTTACATATATGCATGACGACTCTGGTTTGCTGCTGCTTACATTTTTTTATTTTATTTTTATTTCTTTAGATGTATACAAACACTACAAAGGCAACTATCCATAATACTCTTGGTGCCCTTGACATAACTTAAGTATCATTAAAAATAATACCCAGCTAACGGGCAGTTGTACAATTCATGATAAGCCACCACCAAGGAACAGGACACTGATGATTGCTGAAGAAGAATCTTTCTGGGACCTAGGGTGTTGGGTTTACCTTCCAGAAATCTAACTAGAATCCCTGTTTGCTTCAAGAGCTAATTGGTTGCCAGATATACTGCTCAGACACGGTAGCTGAACAACGTATGTTATTTTGCAACTAAAGCGTAGCTAGTTTGGGCTGCTTTTCACAAGCTTATCAGGCAAGACCTACTGGGCAAGACTCTCAAGACCTACATTCTCACCACAGCTAACAGAGAAACATTGGTTCCAACTGTTCAGATATCTTCAGGACTTATGAATTTAATGTAAACATCAAGATCCTTCATTTCCCTTTTCTTTATTTCTCTAAGGAGTCTATACAATTTCTGAGCAGTGAATGTTACTCCACATGACACAAAAACTAAGTACAGAAGTTGGATGTATAGTGGGTGTAAGCAGCTTTGAAACCAGCACAGGAAACATATTGCTGTAAGTAGAAAGAGTTGGGGGAAAGCTCTGCTTCACTATGTAAAATGGATTGTGTAAGAATTCTTTATGAGAAATTTTGCAGAACTTTTTGTATAAACTGTATAAATTCCTCAGAATTAAGGCTAAGTAATAAAGAAATCTGTGTCCTGGAAGACATGGCAATCAAACCATGTGACAGACCCATATGCAACTCCAAATCTGTCCTCATAACTGTCTGTGTCTCACAAAAGACTCACACATGTAACTATTGGAAGAGTGTCTTACACAATTTGGCATACAAATTCTATGATTAGCAGCTGAAGAGGGGGAGGAGGCACAGAGGAAGCATAATAGACTAGCTGACACCCATCAAATGATCTTTTAAAACTGTATAAGATGTCTAAAATATTGTTTTGATAATGCTATATATAACCCCGAATTTTGAAAAAAGAAATGCAAGCAATATTTTGGTTAAAAAGAACAAATGGTTTTTTTTTTAAGGCTCTTCTATTTTAAAATATGTGCCACTGAACAAGGGAGTCCAGCCAGCTATCAAGAGGCATACTGACAAGATAGGAAGCAAATCCAGGAAGATATGATTCAGAGAGGCACAGGTTTATTTTTGAAAAAGAGGCCTTTGTTCTCACCTCCGCTAAATTAAATCTTTGGATAAGACAAAGCCTCCAGTGCAGGTAATTTATAATCTTCTATAGAGAAATCTCCCCAGCACCACTTCTCCTTCCCCTGTTAGGCCCCTGGCTTTACATGCATCACCCATGTTAATTACTAGATAGACAGAAGAGCTGTTCAACCAGTTCATTTCCTCTATTCTTGAACAGATTGTTTGAGACATAATATGAATACTAATTAATGATAAAATATCTGTCAGTGTTTTGAAATATGCACTAAGACAGCATTTTCTTAAAGTCTCCTGGATAGTTCCAATACAATTAGCCCTGCTGGTCATAAGCAGGGTCAAAACAAAACTCTGAAAGATTTGAGCAAAACTGGCAATACTTTTGGCTCAAATTCAGTGGGAATTGTGCAGAGATTTAAAAACAACAACAACAACAACAAAAACCCCAACAACCTTTTTTTACCCCTCTGGTCTTAACATACTTGTTTGCATCTTAAGACATAATTAATGGAAAAACTGTATTCCCAAGATGCCACCATGTTATAAAAAGGTGAGTGCCAGTGGTGGGAAGAAAGAGAAGCAATCAAAACAAGGTCACAGATTATTAGCAACTATTTTGCAGAGGGACATAGCTTAAGTTAAAAGGGGAAGGGGAAGCACATCCCTCTCCTCCTCTTTCCCAATGGTTTGATCATGGCATACAGCTATCAATAAACAAATAATCAACAAGGGCAAAGCAGCAAATAACAAAGTGTTTTAGCAGGTTTCAGAGGGCTGTCTGTACAGTGTTTTAAATACTATACAGAAAGGGGATAGCAAAGTAAAAACCCATCTAAAGACTCCATACTATCTCATTTGCAGTATTGAAATCATACAGCAGGAGATGTCACAATGTATGATGGCAATCCTTGTGTTGTGAAAGTGCTGGGCAAAACCTTGCTAAAGCTTTGCAACAGTTTCTTTGGAACCTCTAAGACAATAATGGACAATTTAACAGACTACAGTTTCACAGAATATCGAGTCCAGAGAACCAACATTATCAATGGAAACAGAAGTGCAATATAATTGTTATGCATTCACACACCAATGTCATCATTCCATTTGCACTGTGAATTTTATTTCCATTGTAGCCCATTAAAATATTTCCTACATTAAAATTCCATTAAAGATCTGATAAACCAGCAAATGAAAGCACTCTCTGACTTAAGGCTTGTCCTTCTGGGCCAGATTCCGATCTCAGTTACACCAATCTACATCCAGAGTAACTCCACAGGAGTCAATGGAATAAATTTGGATTTAGATTGTCGTAAATGATTCTACAGATCCTTGCACCTTGTGTGTCACTTTACACCTGTGCAAAGTGCAAAAGTGGGTCTAATAAACTATCAATCTATGTTCATTTTGCGTAGGTGTAAACGACTACACAAAGTGCAAGGCAAAGGAGAAACAGGCCCCCAAAGTCTTTAGTTCTCCCTGTTATAGCTAGGAATGCCAACCTTTCAGTGGGTGAATTCTCTTATATATTCTAGCTGTGCTGCAACATCTAAGCACAATACAAGGCCAGATCATGGCACGTTCTGCGTGCTGGAGCAAAGGAGGTGTAAGGTACCCTCTTACTTCCAGTTGCTGCCTACCCCTAACACTGCTCTCACTGGGAGAGGGAAAGTAGACTGCAGAGCCGAAATGTAACCCTCTTCTTTCTCCCCCCATCAAAATAAGGTGAGCAGGAAGGAATGGCTGGGGTCTTGGTTCTGCCTCTCCAACATGCCAGGCAGCGTAGCTGGTGTATGCTGTGCCAGGTATAGATCCGGTACAGTGTGCTCTCACCACAGAGAAGCTCACAAATTGAGAGTGTCAAATTCCCCAGTGGGCTACTTCTGAAGAACCACAACAATGCACTGCTCCTTACTCTGGCTCATGGCAAATCTATGGGTGAGTCCACAAAGGGTGAGATATACACAGACAAAAATCTTTGTCACTTTAATTCAAACACAATATAATTGTACCTCCTTTATTTATTATTTCATAACAAATAGCTCATGTGTATAAAATTGAAGATTCCACTTAATAAAACAGGTGAGCGAATAAGCCACAATGCATTATTTCACGAATTCAAATTTTGAGCAGGGCATGCCAACTTTTAGCTGAAGTTAAGACTCCTTTTCCACTAGCACAGACTCTAAATCAGTGCAATTAAGACCACTTTGTAATTTACACTCATTGTCTAATAAACTGTTACCAGTAACACGTTCAGAAGTGACCTATATTACACAGGCCTCCAAGCACTAAATAAAACTTCCACAGTTCTGTTCCAGTAAGTCCTGAGCCAAACGTAAAACAATGGATTGTTTGAAGACTGTCTTTCTTTGGGTTGTTCCAAAAGTCCTGCTTAGAATACCTTCCTTAGAATACCTTCACTGGCTAATCCTAATAATGGCACTAGCATTGGAATACATTCTTTTTCTATGCTTGCAAAGGAATTGGAATAGGAGAAGAGAGTTAAAGGAAAATAACTGAGGGGAGTTCCTAAGAAAGAAAGAAAGAAAGAAAGAAAGATTTGAAATCATGCTAAATCTTGGTAGTATTTTGTTCCATGTTCTGTCCCATGTAAATTGTTTATATAACTTCCAAGTACACTGTAATATATGTTTGTTTATATACGTATTTTAAATTCCCAGTGAACATGTTTGATCATATTCACAAAAGCTGGAAGTTTTTTAAACAGACAATATTATAGGCACAATTGCAAACTATCCTGATAAAAAAGGAAAGATAGAAAAAATAGCAGCTCTATCAGGAGCTGTTTAATGACTTGAAAATAAAAAAGAAATCCTACAAAAAGTGTAAACACGGACATATGCTAAGGAGGAATACAAAAGAGTGGCACAAGCATATAGGGACAAAATCAGAAAGGCCAAGACACAAAATGAGTTACACCCAGCAAGGGACATAAAAGGGAAAAAGAAGAGGTTCTATTAATGCATTAGGAGCCAGAGAGAGAGAGAAGAACTACACTTTCCTTCACTAAGGAGGGAGGGAGAGCTAATAACTG